CGAATCTAATATATTAAACCTGGTAGCAACAATACGGACATGGCTTTTCCATCAAGTGGAGACAGAATTCCAGCCGACAAACACTTTAAAAATAGATGCACTATTATTAACCAATACACACTTCAAACACTTATTATAAGTGGATACAATTCACAAATGTTTCTTTGTACTATACGATATACACATCCTTTGTAAACCGACATTGCAAATCCATTATACAGGAATTTCAAAATCATCTTTTAAAGTAAGCATTTCATAAATTCTACAATAATTGTTAGAATGACCTTGTTAGGAAATATAACGTAACATGGGGTCGTATTTTGGCTTACGTGTTTCAGTCCAATTGTTAAGCCCGTTGTTTTTTTAAACTTAATTTGACTAATGAATATTCCGCGCACTTGTTCAATATATCGAGGTAATGTGGGGTTTGGGGTGGGGTGGGGGTGGGGGGCTGTTTGTTTAACGTCCCTTTGAGAATTTTCACTCACATAGAGACTCAAACACTTGCCGGTGGAGATCTGCAAATTTAGACGTTTACAAGGCACTTAAGCCTTTGAGACGTGAGGAATCTTTTTTGCCAACACATGCTGCGAATCGGTGACAAGTGACAAATAATTTAAGATCCTCGATATCAATGAAAGTAAATTGGAATCAATGCAATTCTCACAAAATAATCAGCATTGTTTTTCAAATGCACAGGTAGAGTCTGGAACTAACTATTAGGTCGTATTCTGGTTGACTTGTTTCATACTTGTTTCCTTTTTCGTGATTTTTTTGTTCATTGTTTTAACAAAAAACTAAATATTCAAAAGAAAGCAAAACTTGTTCAAAACTGAGCTATAGAGAAGTATTATTAACGAGAAACTCAGACAGATTATGTTAATAACTATTGTAACCGAGCAGCAAGGCAGATTATGTTTTCATTATTTATTTAAGAAGAAAGAAGGCATTGACCATAAGATGCATACGATGGACATTGGATTTACTTCTTGAAAACGTATTACTGCTCTGACATACATAGGTAAAGCGCGGTAAATTTATACTTCTAATGAAAATGTATTATTGGATGAAAAAATAAGAAATAACCAATCAAATTAAAGAACCAATGAAATCATAGAATAAAACTTTACTCAGGCAACTCAATCCAGATGCGCAAACGAACTTTTGGCTAATCAAATTTTAAAATTATATTTCTCAAAACGATATTAAAAAAAATAAAAACGAATAAATACATATAGAAATAAAATTACATAATATCACACTATAAAACGTTTTTAGAAAATAACATTGTATTGCATTGAATACGTTGATAGATCTATCAATTGATATTGATTAATTATATATATTTTTTCTGTGTGGTAATTGATTATTCTGATATTCCCAGAAAATGATGTACACCTGGAAATAGTTCTGTTTAAAAAAATGTCTCAAAACTACATGACAATATTTAATGCTGAGATTTATTTGTTTTTAAGGTGAAGTTCTCAGAAACACAGAAATGGTGGACCACAACATCCCAGAATAAAACAAGGACCACAGATTTACATGTGAAGATAACGAACATTAATTATGATGATTAGCCTATACATGGTTCTAAAATATGCAATGGACAAGGAAAGGAAAAAGGCGAAATAATCCACATGTATTTTATATATTGATGCATAAAATCTTTTTAATTACTTTAGAACATTGTCACAATTTTAAATGTTATTATTTGTATGAACTTACAAGGTTTATAGTTATAAAATTTCATATGGCTGCAAACAGATAGATGTCTAATTTTCGTAAGTCTGACACATGTACAGCATTAAAAACGATTAAAGGCTATACTTACGTCTCTGTGTATTGATAAAATGTTCCATCACATTCACATTCCTACGATGTAATATTCTCGTTGTCAACGGAAACGTGTACTTTGTAAGGGGCTATTAATATGATGGTTAATCATTTCTAGAATTCCCACTCTCATTGACAAAATAGAATGATCAAGTTAATTAAAGTACGTTTAGAGATGTTTCTCGACCCGTTTATAATTTTAAATGCGTGTCCCAGTATTTTTTTTATTTAGGGAACCCATGATTTCATCCAACATAAATGAACCAAATATCAACATCGTCCTTGAAATAAGGAAAATTTCAAGGTCAATATTTTCTAAAAAAAATATTCAGTACTCTGGATTTCAACCAGAAGTTATGAAGCAAAATATTGTTTTAAGTATTTAATAACATAACTACACCTCAGTGCTAAAGATTACAACTAAGCAATGTTTTAAAATTTCATATCCAGTTTGAAATAAGGAGAAAAAAATATTTCAAATTTCCCGACCTGAGACTCAATTTGTTTGCACACCCAGTTTCAGTTACAATACTATATACTATATCTTTCAAGGAAATATAATCCAGTGAAAAAATAATAATCTCATTTATTCAGCTATTTTCAAATCCATTATTCCTATGGTCATACTGTTTGATGTTACACAACTAAGAAAAACAGATACCTTTTAAAAAAGGATGCAGGGGTAAAAAAGTTAATGAAGATGAATATTGATTGTTACTTTGTTTCCCTTGAATTTTACAATACTTTTTGTAAAAATCATGTGCAGGATTGAATACTGTTCGTTATCTCCATATATTTCAATTGATTAATTTTTCATTGTTTTTCACATAAAAATACGAATAAGGATATCCCGTTTTCTTTTAAAAAAAAAAGTAGATAGCGATCAAATGAAGGTTGATGACAGTTTTTTGGTACATTACTTTCCTATGCACTAAAATAAAAGCTTACAGGAGTCCATTCTTGACAAAATTGGGCACCAATGAAATTTCATCTCCCTAGGCTTTTTCCTTTATCCTTAATTCCCTGCAAAGCATGGAGAGTGTTCATTACATGCTAAGTTATTAAGCATATTATATATGCGCAGTAATATTTCCTATCGTTAATAATTTAATACATTTTTATACAAATATTTTTTTGAATCGTAGAAAAGTATTTTTTTAAAGATGTATTAGGTGATATAGACACAGTGATAAAACCATAAGTCAATTTACTATTATCTAATGTTTTTATATTAGTCCCTAAACACAAAGGCTTATGCTTTACATCAATACAGCAGTACAGAATTTAGGACATTAACTTTCTAAATCTTTGTTATATTTGCCTGTTTTCCCAGTGTTTACCTTTTCCTTCCCTTAATGGCTTGTTTTATTTCCTCTTTTTTGTACTTTAATCGAATTTCTTTGATAAATCTCTTTCCTGTCTGCATAATAATAAATCCGTAAGAAAATCTTTAAATCTCTGTTCTATTTATTTTTTTTAGTTACTACAGATATCCCCATCAAAGTATTATTGTAGACCTGTGAAAATTATGAAGGATATTAAAAGTAAGAAAAGTAAGTTGGTATTTTGATAAAGTCTTGAATAGAATGGTTTTGAAAATTTAATCCATCATTCTGATTCCTCTCAATAATATCTATGATAGCTTTCATACATTACAATTAAGCCTTTTTTCCTTTTTTAGCTCTACAGGTAAAATTTTGAAGAGCTTATTAGATGGCAGTTTGTGTCGATATCCTTTGTTAATTTAAATTTTATGTAAAATCCAATATTTTGTCAAATTTCTTCTCTAATTATTAGCCTTTTTACAACAACTGCGTTCCTACTCTTTGCAGGCCAAATTAATAACGTTTGGAGTAGTTTTTGTTGACAGATAATTAAATGACGTAATCCAAAAAATCCTTTTTACGTCATATTTCACCGAACAATATCATTTTGCCTGCACAAGAGCAGTACCACAGTTATGATAAAGCGGTATATAGTTTTTATCGGGTTAAAATAGACAATACTTGAACTCAAGATATCTTTAGTCCTTAGACTAATTAAAAAAGACACCCGTTTTGTTCATGACAATTTCACCTTAATACTGTCTTTTTAATCTATACATTGCTTTCTAAATTCTAGACCCTCATCAGCATGAATAAGCTTGGATTCAGCACCCAACGTAAAGTTCGACACTGTTCTAAACGTCATGGAGACACAGAATTCTACTGTAACACGTGTAAACATGACCTGTGTCTACAGTGTAAAGAGAGACATGTCATTGATCTAGATACCAGATACCATGATGTTATGATTTACCGTGAGAAGTATGAATGCATCCCAAAACAAGAACTCTGTGTGAGACATCCAGACAAATTCTATGAAAAGTACTGTGACTTGTGTGAACTTCCTGTCTGTGTTGAGTGTAAACAACACAGAAAATCCAAAAGCTACATCTTTTCTCAATGCATAAAACATAAGGAACACAATATATTGGACATCAGAAAAGCTTATAAAAAAAATTCGAAAACAATACAGAGGAACCATACACAATATCAGAAGTGAGAATGTCTATAACAGCCTAGTTCTCCTTGCAGAAATCAGAACAAATATCAAAACTTGGCACAAAGAAATTTATAAATGTCAATCAGAGATGTTCGCAAAAGGCCAGAGATTAAGGAACCTTATTGACACTGTGATGTGTCGGGTGAATAATTTTTTACTTAGATTACAACAACAGGAGAGAAGAATGAGGAGACATCTTAAAAGTATAGATAACTATTTATACAGAGTTGATGAGTCAGTAAATAGACCGGTGCAATTTCTCTTCTTTCTTAAGAAAATCGGTGTATCGAAGGTAAAAGAAACTCCCCAGCTTACAAAATGCATTCTTTTCCCCATGAAAAAGGAAATTAATATCACAGATGTGATTAAGTTACTGAATGAAATCCAAATAAAAGATTTAGGGAAAAGGCAAATAAGAAATACAAATACTCTGAAACTGATGTCTAGTCCTGTGTTACACATTTCTGTCAGAGTAGCTGGCGTTTTTTTATGTTAATCACTTGTCCTTTGTGTCATCACATCGACTGTGGATCAGTGATCCGTGGAATAACAATCTCACCTTGACTAACACAGAGGGTGAAAGATTACATGTACTGAAAAATACAGCTAACTATGATAATATGTGGAGTTATGGAGCACACACAGTGAACAATATAGGGGATCTAATCTATGTAGACAAGGATTTTAACATTAACAAACTATCTACTGATGGTAGAAGAAATTCTATAATGATAGGGAAAGCAAAGCCATGGATACCGCAATGTGTATACTGTTCCCCCTCCAATGGAGATCTACTGATCGGTATGTACAAAATTGATTCACACATGTATACAGGCAAGATAATCCGTTACAACAACGCAGGGCACTATATACAGACAATTCAACACATAAACACTGAACAGAAACTGTATACAAGGCCTATTTATATCACAGAGAATCGCAACCACGATGTAATTGTGTCTGACTATACAACAAAATCTAATGGTGATGTAGTTGTGACAGACCGTGGAGGAAGATATCGCTTCACCTATACAGGACCTCCATATGAATCAGGACTAGCACCACGTGGAATCTGTACAGACGCGCTGTCACACATCCTGGTATGTGATGCTAGCACCCACACAGTACAGATGATTGACAAAGATGATCAATTTTTGTCCCTGATAATAGAAAGAGGAGAAAATCACAAACCAGAGACCCTGGGTTATGACCAAGAAAGTCATCTTCTTGGGGTTGGATCATCGGACAGGACAGTGCATGTATACAGATATATAGAGAGGCGGGATTTTACGTCAGGTAATTGTATTTAGCTAGTTCATACGTAATATACATGTTCACATAAATACATGGATTGCTGATAGGCAATTGTAATTAAATAGAGACATTCAAAGTAACGAATTCCTGTTTGCATGAATCAATATAGTTTGTTTTTACATGGAGAAAAGGTGCTCATTTACATATTGGCCACAACGGAGCTTAAATGGCGACAGATTCCATGAATGTTTATATAGAGAATGTACAAAATTGTATATACTAGCTATTTCGGATAAAGTCTCCCGCCGATGTTTTGAATTTTTTTTTATTGTACTTTCACACATATTATACAAATACACACAAGCGTATATATAAATAAATGTACAAGACCATATGAAATAAAGAAAAGAGGGGAGACAATGTAAAAAACTAGTGTGAAAGTTTACAGAGAGAGAGAGAGAGAGAGAGAGAGAGAGAGAGAGAGAGGAGAGGGTGAAAGAGATGAGGGAGGGGGCACATACTTCATGTAATAATTTGTGGTGAGCAAATTTGAGAGTTTTCAACTATTTCCTGCCAGTGTCTTTCAAATTCATCATATTTACAGTTTTTTAAAAAGAGAAACTTTTTTACTCTAATTCTTTCGGTAATAACATTTTTTAAAGCCTCAATATTTAATTTCTATTCTAATTTCTTTGATTTTTTCTTAATATCTTCTACCGGCAATGAAAATATTATTGAAGCCGAAATGAAAGTTGCTACCGCATTTTTTTATTTAAAATTTTGAGGTGAGAGCATATTGTTTTATTAAAGGAAAGAGCAAATAATTAGTGTCGTTACCATTTTTTGTGAAGAAATGTGTTTATTGCAAGTTGACAGTTTTTCTGCCGATTAAAAGCAGATGAATGCCTATTTTCATAAACTACAGATAATTTATCATTTAATGAAGAGTAATGACCGCCTTTTTAATTTGAAAACGGCAATTTCTTGCATCAGTGCGACCTAATTATTATTATCAAGACGGTATCATGAATTGTCAACTAGTTATCACATAAAATTCTACCCATATAGCTATGACGGAGGCTTAAAGAAGAAACAAAGCAAAATGGGCTTGTGGGTTTTAATATTGTTTCGAGTTTATGCAGGATCTTTTGCATATAAATGAGAAGTAAATCACGTATGACTATCTTATGAAAAAACTGCACATCATTTCTCCATATGTTTGGTACGAAGTATTATCAATCATATCTAATTACCAAGAAAACAATTTGTGTGTTTTACTGTCCGAACATGAAAAAAAAATTCACATTGCAAATCCGGTAAATATTTACTTAGAAGGTTTTCAGAGGGTTGAATATTTATTAAGTTTTCTGTCCGTTTAATTTCAGTTCTTATATTGAAACGTCTGTTACTTTCACATAACATGCTAAATATATGTAGTTTGTCAATTTTTCCTTTTTTGCGTGGACCCTGAGGTCCACGCAGAAAATATATAAGTGGGTTTAAAACTGGATGCCATGGGCTTACGTCAGGCTACGCATGCGGGAGAATGCTAGAGAGTTCGCCTCTAAGATAACTTGCCCTTAGAACAATTCGCCCTTTTCGAATTAGAATATGCCAATCATTGGCAAACCTCGCTACAAAAACTGTACATCGTATTTATGTATTCTTTGGCGTTATCAAGATCCGAATTTCTCTTTTATACCTTACATCCGTATATACAAACTAAATTCTTTGGTACAAGCATTTTAAATAAGTAGGAAGAACTTATATAGATAGCTTAACAGCTTGAACATGTTGAATGAAAAACTTAATTTAACTATTAAAAAGATAGTCTTTACCATGTTTACCGGCATTAGTTTTGTGTGCATCAAGGTTCGCAAAATAATTTGATAGACAGCAATCCAAATATAGCTTGTTGAAGGCCTGTAGCAACGTTTTTCCATGTTGGAGAGAGAGAGAAACATAAAAAAAAAATCTTCGTGCTACAGATCTGTGCTACCATCATCTTTCCAAAGATAGAACATCTTCCGTAAAAATCTAGTACAGATGTCAAATCCCAGTCGTTATGGGTTACATATTTCGAAATAACTTGATTTTTTAAATGACAAACTATAGGCCATACAATCGGGGATAAAATCTAACAATTTTGCTATGCAAGTACAATCACTCAAAGTTGGCAGATCAATGTAGAAAATGTTAACGAAAGGTTAACCTGTGTCACCTTTCAGAGTAACCAATGAACTCGTCCATGGATGCATTGATGGTCGTTGTAACAAGAATAGATATGGTTACCCCATATACATGATATTCGACTTTCAATTTACTCCAATTGTCACCAGAAATAAAAAAAAAAAAAAACTGCACATGTTATGAAACTGGTGTATAGTTCTTCATGTCCGTAGCAAATACTGTTACCGGTCTAAGCGTCACTAACAAACAGTTAACACACCTGTGCTTGCTAGGTGTACACACGTGCTATGAGATTAATTGTCAATTGCATCTTCTCAGACCTTTCTGGCTAGTTCGGGAAAACACATCGTTTTGCCAAAAAGTTACGATTGCAGGTAATTTTACACAAAATTAATCTTTTTGTGTTTTTAAATTGATCGAGTTAATCGATAACCTAGCATTGCTTTAGATAACTCGAGACCCCCTAGTGCCGAGCTCCTCTAGTGCTCCAGTAAAGGGTCGGATCAAGCAGTTTTCGAAAGGGGGGGGGGTTCTAGGTCACACCTCAGGCACTTAAATTCAAGCCCGTAGCAACGGTTTTCAAAGGGGCCACGTCCAAAAAGAGTTAACAAGCAAAAAAAAAAATCAAATAAATAAATAAAATAAAGACAACATGTGCACCACACTGTAAAATCCAAATTGGGGGGGGGGGGGGATGCTTCGTCTAAATTTCGGTACATTTTAATTTCTTTTAAATGTTTTAAATGTTTGATTTTTCCGTATTTTGAACTTTCCCGCAACAAAAAAGTGTGGGGGATCTTCCAATGCAAATCAAAACTTATTATTAAATCACCATAGTATAAGGAGATAAATATTCTCTTATGGATACTCCCTTTCAGGACTATTTATGCACACTTCTTAAAGTTAGTTACTTTAGAAGATGGTCCAAAATTAGCAAAGCCGTACGTTCGCCGGAATCTTCCGATGTTATCAAAGTGAAATCTTCCACGTTACGTGTGGGTGGTCGAGGCCCGGGGCCGGGGTTGTGAAGGTACACGGAGGAAAGCAATAAGCAAAACTCCATCTGGAGATCAGAAAGAACAGAGACTGAGGTACTTGTTTTACTGAAAATACTAGACGTAAAAATATCTATATTACAGAAAAAAAAATCTCTCTCTCTCTTCCTCTTTCTGCAAAAATAAAGGGGGTTCCAACACCAGGACCCCCCCCCCCCCCTCCCTGGATCCGCCAATGGAGTAAAAATTCAACCATTACGATACCTGCACGCTTAAGCCTCTTTTAATTCTGTTGTTAATTTTAAAATCTACAATTGTGATAGATACCTAGATCGAAATTTCATATGCATATCATTTCAAGGTCATGATTTTTTTATCATTACAGCAAAATTAAGCAGACTTAAATAACGATGAAAATTACAAGATACATGTAAAAAGATTAATTTAATTACACCTTAATGTTATATCACTATATCTAGAAATTTTCTTTGAATTTCGTTTAGAAACACATGCATATGGTCCACGTATTGCAGTCCTTTTATAAAGGACAGCAACTTGGTTGTTTTTTTGTTTTTTTTAATTTCTGTTTATTTTTGAAGTATCAAGTAGATATCCATTTTCATAATTGAAGTCAATGAGGCTAATGGTTTTACGTCGAAACAATTTAAGAGAGATTTTTCTCCCCCATTGCAGTCATACTGTAGGTCAACATGCTCAGGCCCAAGGATCATGAAGAATCTTAAGCTAAAGTCATTTTTTTTTTTAGATTTTACTAAGATAATGTAGAAGTCAAGCAGACCAAAGTTTAAATATTTTTATAATATTGCTTTACAAAAGTGTTGTTATCTGCACATTTAGCGAATGATTCAACAATTAATAAACATTTTACAGACGATTGAAAATAAGACTCAAGTCTCAGTCTGTTTCATTTCATGATTTCTCCAGTATTCCAAAAAAAAAAAAAAAAAAAAAAAAAAAAACAATTGTTTTAATGGGCACTGAGATGAAAATAATGCTGTTTTTATTATGATTATAAATTTGTTAAAACATCTTTAAATTCCCAATTTCAATACAGTACAGATTTTCATATATATATATATATATATATATATATATATATATATATATATATATATATATATATATATATATATATATATATGTATATGTATGTATTTCTGTCATACAAGTTTAAAATTGGTTGCTAAAAGAGGAAAACCCACTACTTTGTCCTACACGATGGCGGCCAAGGGGAGAAATTCCGAAGCAAATTGCGTCATAGGAAAACCGTCTAATATTTCTGTTATCTTTTTTCTTATTGCCAATTTAGTAAACCTTTACGAAATGTCATCTGAATATTTAAATGAAATGAGCTAACTCTTTCAAATTTTTATAACTTTTGAAAAGCGACGCTGAGACAGTCGGGGAAAAATGATGTCTTTTTACCGGTCTAGGAAATTTGCAACAATATAAGTGAATTAGGAATTTAGTGAGTGCTAAGTTGTTTGCAAGTGGTTAAAAAGTAGGTGTTCAGTTTCAAATTTGAACGCAAAATAAACCGGAAATATCATAAATAAATATTTTGCATAAACTTTATGGAACAGAAAAATATCAAATGATGGAGAATCATGCATGTTCACTGGATGTTTCATTTACAACTTTGTTTGAAATGATGTACATTTAAATTCGGAATATAATGTATTGGTATTTTTGTTTAAAAGATACTGATGTAAGAGAAATGAGATAAGGAGATATCAAGAATATTCATATAAAAAGGAAATTCACTTGCTAGACTTTTGTCCCTCTATGTGTGAGTGAATATCGGATGGAAGAAGGGAAACGTATTGTTAACTATGTAACAATAGTAACAT